TAACAGCTCTGAGTCTGGGTCTAGCTCCCTGCTGCAGCTGGTGTGGACTGCTCGAATCATGGAAGCTCTCTGAATCTTTTCTGAAGATTCAGAGAGCTTCGAATTGATTTGGACCTTTTTACTGGTCCCCTGATTCAATTAGGATTTGGAGATTCAGCCACCAAATCACCACCCAAAGCTTCACACAGGCCTAGTATTGACCCAGAATGGGAAAGAACTTTAGTGGATGCAGTTTGCTTATTTTTCTGTTAAGTTTAGTTTTAAAACCAGAGGACTGGATTGTGGCTAAGGGGATGGCTTGGAGGCCATTGGCATGCACCCCCATGCACGCGCATCCCCTGAGCATGGCAGTGCACCCTCTACAAAAAGGCAGTCACCGCTCACCACCCCACCACCAATGGCATTTATGGGTGGTCCGTGATTCCCACTTGGTTGACTCTCACCCTCGCCCCTTCCCCGCCGATAGTGCCAGTGGCATCTGCAGGAGCTCCCCACTCACCACTGCCGTGTTCCCGCCACCACTGTGCCCCCTCAGCCGCTGGGGGTACATGCCGTTCATGCAGTAGAGTGCTCCCTGGTGAATGCCAGGGACGCCAGGGGGCAGAGCAGCGTGTAAGCAGTCATGCCAGGTCAGGGACCTTAAGGGCTGCCACATGAGACAGGGGCTAGGGTCCCAGAGCACACAAGTGCAACATGGGGCTGGGGCCCAGAAGCTGAGGTCTGGGGTAGTGGACCTTGGGCTAGGGGGCCCAGCTAGAGGAAACAGGTGAAGCCAGGAAGGTGGAAGCCCCAAAGGTTTGAGGTGGAAACCCCAAAGCAGGCTTGAAGGGATGAATGCAGAATCAGGGCCAAAGGGCTCCCCTCTAAAAAAATGCAAGGTATGGGCGGGACTATGAAGATGACTGGAGGTCACAAGTATTGTCCCTAAGGCACAACTGGGGCTGCCTTAAGGGAAAACCAACCCTGTAGAATTTGGGGCAGAGAAGCCCTGTGGGCTGTACACTGAGAAAATGCACCCAGCAAGAAGTTACCCCAGCCTCTGGAGGTAGCCTTGCCAGTTAAAAGACCCTAAGACAGGGGTAGGCAACTCCCAAGCAAAGGCGTTTTGCTTGGCATGAGCGCCTCAGGGCAGACAGTGGGGAAGGGGCTGGAGCTGCGCTGCCTCAACAAGGATTGAGCCCCTTGTGGCTCCCCTACTGTCTGTCCCTTGGCATGCCAAAATCTGATAAGTCAAGGTTGCAGGTATTTTCAGCACTTTGCCCAAAAACATTGCCAACCCTTCCCCTTAGATCAAGTCATGGCAGGTGTGAGATAGGCAGTCTGGGGAGTGTGGGCAGACAGGTCTGACGACTAAGTGGCATCAGATACCAGGCGGATCACCTCAGACTGTCACATTCCTCCTCTTGATGGGAATCAACAGAATCACAATGCTTTCGTTCCCTTTCTACATCCAAGAAACAAGATAGACTCACCAGACTCATACTTGCAGTTGGTCAGATTAATCACAGGTCATCTGGAAAAAAAGAAAAAAAAGGGGGAGAGACAGAGGCAGATAGACCAAAACCAGTTCAAACTTTATAATGAAGCCCTGGAAAAACTTTACAGCTGAACTTCCACAAACTTACCTAAAAGCACTAAAACAAATGAACACACTATTAAGCAACATATCATATCCTCAACAGGCTATTCACTAGAAGTTTTTGCTCACTGGTCACATGGAAAATTATTTCCTTGTGGGGATAAAAGGGAAAAAAACCTGCACAATTTGTCTTTCCATAGATGAGAAAGGTACCATTAATTAGAATTCTCTGAAGACAACCACAGTACAAGTCCAGTGTAAATGTTATTATCCTGGTTACAAAATCCCTGACACAAAACATCAGCAGAATGAATGTACAGACTGATTACTTACCTATTTTGTAAAATTAATATGAAACATGTTTCTTAGAAACATTTGGTTATATACTTTACTTACCTAACCTCTAACCCTGAAACAGTACACAAACAACAAATAGGAAAATGGTGGCCAACAGGTAATGCTAAGTTCAGATAATGTTTAATTTAGAGAATTCTGTTGATTGGTAAATGCTATTTATTTATGCTGAACAAAAATGTTGCTGTACTGCAAGCTCCTCTTGTGAACTCCTGTCAGGAAACACAGCACAAACAAATTAAGCGGCTTAAAAAACCCACCTATCCTCTTGGAAACTAAGCTAAAAAGATGAACAGTGAAACCTCATTTATCCAGAAAGCTTGTTTATTCAAAATGAGGCCATCTCCTCTATTGTGTAAATGCACTGAAAGTTCTCTTGAATTTCCTAATTAATTTAATGTCAATATTTTTTCAGATGAGATATCAGTGTACTTACTATACGTGGTTTGATCAAAAAGTTCTCTAAGACTTGATGTTCAGCGTATTGGTCATCAAGAATTTGTACCAAGTGGTACAACAATCAATCAGGCTTTTTATAAAGAGGTTTTGATTCGATTGAGGGATAAAGTTAGAAGAAACCACCGTAAGGTGTGTGAAACTGGTCAATGGTTTCTGCACCATGACAATGCTCCTTCACACACTACTGTCTCCATTCAAGAATTTTTGGCTGAAAAAAAACATTCCTGTGATACCACATCCTCCGTATTCACCTGACCTTGCCCCATGTGATTTTTTTCTATTCCCAAAAATCAAAATGAAGCTGAAAGGAAGGAGATTTGATGACATTCCAACCATCCATAAGAATGTGAAAGCGGAACTTAAAAAACTCACAGCATTGCTTCCGAAAGTGGCAGGAATGTTGGGACAAGTGCATATAATCTGGGGGAGATTACTTTGAAGGGGACAGCTCATAAAAATGTTGTTTGTACACTATTCTTTAAAATAAAAGCTAAGTCTTAGAACTTTTTGATCACCCCCGTACATCAAATTAAAAGGAAAAAATATGAAGACAATATCAGTAAAACACTACTGTGATGAGAGAGAAAGGAAACAAATGAACAGATTTTTTCTGAAGTTAAAATACAGCTTCCTAAATAAAATACAGATAAAACATTTTTAAACACAGGGAAGGCATTTTTGCAATTTAGTTTCTAAGTTGTTCAGAGTGAGAACCTTGATTTTTTGTTTGTCTAGTCTGTTATGTATCCCTATGGTGATAATAAATAAACACAGCAAAATTATGACTGCCCAAAGAACTTGGTCAACAGTAGTTAATCAAATGGGCATTAACCAGGCAGGAAGTATGCACGGGAGTCAGTTAAGGTAGTTTGGACACTGTGAGTAGGGTAACTACAATAAAAATAACAGAGTGCTTTCTTCCTTCTCATGTCCTCATGACAGGGTAATTCAGCAGAATTTGCAGATTCATTGAAATCTGACATGGCTGCACCACAAGTGTTTATAGTCTCAAACTTGCAAGCTCTGAGCTATCAACCATGTGCCTTAGCAGCACCCATGCCACCCCAGAGTACTGATTTGCTCTTACAGGTCCTGGTCTAACTCTGTTGAAGTCAATGAAAAGATCTCCAGTGATTTTGAGTGGGCTTTGGATCAGCCCTATAATCCCATTTAGTCATGCAATTAGTCATTTTGTGGGTCTAATTGGGGTTTATAAATGGAGTTTAGCCAGTAAGTGACTTGATAACTGGTTCCACTTATTGTGGTTCTAATCTGATATGGATACACACATGTGAGTGAGTACAGACAAGTAAGGCTGGGGGCTAACTAGAAATCACAATTTTCTGGACAAGTTTTATACACTGAAATTACTTTAGCTGATTTTAATACAAAATAAGAATGCTAATCTAATGCATTCTAACATAATGACAGAAAGCAAATGAACAAAGGAAGAGAGGGATGGAAAGAAAAGGAAAAGGAAGAAAGGAGGAATGATGATTGCTAATTTTACCTCTAATATTACAATCCCACTGAGTAAGGATGAAAAGAGGGCACAGCAGTCCCAATCAGTTCTGTCATGTAATGGTTCTGAACTACAGTAGTTGATCCTATTAGGAGGCCCAAATATAATCTCAACATCACAGTATAATAGGAAAAAAGGGAACACATTTTAAGTTATAGTTATAGAAAGCTAATATAGCAGTAGGTACTACAGCAAAGATAAAAGAAACTATTATTTTTCCTTCATGGTTTTTTGTTACGAAGCAACATTTGAGGTTATAATCAGAGAAAAAGATGTGGCAGTACTCAATAAGGCTGAGCCATGTGACACATGCCTATCAGAAACCAATGGATGAAAAAGCACTAGCTAGTCAACATAGGAACACGCTTCCCCAAAGTTATAAATCAAAGCCTACATCCTGATGTATTAAATGGGGATCCAGAGAATATTCTCCTCCAGTACTACACTATAATAGTAACTCATGCATTTCACACTAGCACTAGAACTCCCCTAAACTATTTTCTTTTCACTGGCACAAGAATATGGTAAAAACATTACATCTATAGTAGTAACATTATATACTAGGTTCTTTCTAGATAGTTAAAAAAGTTCATTTGTGAAGTCACTCAAAACCTGCAGAACTTAAATATTACCATTCCTTATTTAACATTAGAACAGAATTCCATTATTTCATCTCAGCTGCAAATTCAATACTTGCATATTTCTCTTCCACTACAAACATCTGATGTTCCTTCCCCTTCTCTATAGGAACAGTCTGAATACCCCTGTTTCACAATGTCCCTTCACTACTAACACCCTCCTCTATTTTCAGGAGCCTTGTCATGTCAATACTTGGTTCTAACCTCTTTCTCTTTCTTTTCTTTTTTCTGGATGCGTTTGAATCTTGATTTTTTTTCTTTTCTCCATAGTCCACTGTTTCCCGGTCTGGGATGCCCAAGACACTTGCTTCTCCTTCTGTTGGTAAAACTTTTGCTTTGGTTCCATTTTTGTCATCCAACTCTTCTGCTTTGTACTCATCTCCTTGAAACGATCTGTATTTTTGCAGTATATCTGATGCTTTCATCCTGTGGAAATACACACAACAGACCAAAAGCTAAGTAAATACAGTAGTACAGGGATAAGCAATAGTTCTTTCAATTGTTCTGAGAATAGAGATGCTTTTTTCTAATCTAGCTGGTAAAACAGGGACATAACTTTCCACAGAGCCCCAAGTTAGGAAGGGGTACATTCAACTACTTATTTACAGTATTCCATTTTCCATTATTTTCTTCCCTTTCTAGAAGGATCAGAAGGAATATGTACCCAGCTTGTTGATTTTAGCCAATACCTATTCCAATCTGAATGGCACCCCTTACACAGAAAAAGAGGTTTGTTCGACTCTTGAGGCTGTTGCTGACCCTCTACTTTGGTGATAATGATAAAAACGCACTATGCAATTGTCCTGGTCCCAGTCTTCAATGTAAAATGGAAGCACCTGCATCTTTTGTCTCTCAAAACCTAGCACCCCCTCAACATCTTGCTTTCCTTCTATGCATTTCGTCCTCCTCAGGTTTAAGTATAATGCTGTAGCACTGAAGAACCAGTGCCTAACCTGAAAGCCACCTTAGTGCTGACACCGGATCTGAGGGATGAAAAGACTCAGACTGCATCAAATCTGCAGGTGAAATCCAAGTCTAACAGGTCAGGTTCTCTTGCAAACAGAAAGCTCTGTGGCAGAGTACAGAGAGGTTAAGGAAGAGGAACTCTTTACCAAAGGTTTATTTTCCTTATATAGCTTCACATTTTACCTTGCCCTTCTGGCTTGAGTTGATTGAGGGCTCCTAGAAGTAAGGATTCATTTAAAGTATCAATAGCAAGTAGTTCAGAAAACAAACTCTCTCAAACCTTTTAGTGACAAAAGTAGTTTGATTTTCATCTATAATTTCACTAAACAGTATTTTATTTTGCATTTAAAAATCTTGGTATACCAAGAATTCAATTCCTGATCCTAAGCTCCACCCCTGGTTTTGTGTACCAATAACCTTCCCACCCCAGCTCTGTCACAGTATCCCTCTCCCTGCACTCCTTGTTTCTATCTACTCACCCCACCCTCCTACAGTTCAGCTCTAGTTCCAGTTTCATTCCAATAAAGCTGCTTTCTCCTTTGCTTGAGCCCAGAAAGGAGGGTGTCATTGAAAGAAGTGAAGGCATATCTTCCCTACTTTTTTTCCCTGATACCTAGAACTAGAAAAGCCTAAGGCTGAAACACCCAGTATGGAACAGAATCCTTGGGAGATGGACTAGCTGTCCCAAGAAGTCTGTACTAAGCAGTCTTAAACTTTGTATAGTCACTTACACTTGTGCAGAGTGGGTGCAAGACGCTAGCACCAATGTGAAGAAAAGATCTAATTGCACTTAACTTCTGTTTGGCAGACATTTTGCACAGAGGTAACAAGGGATGGTGCAGGTGAAAAAAAGTGAGGATTCAGAAACACTGAATTAAAATTGTGTTAGAAAATGTTAATGTGTTTATAGCACTGGTCTTTTTGCTTGTGTATATGTATGGTTCGTACCAAATTAAAACCCCCCCTGTATCTGAGCATTTTAATCTACTTC